ATATATATGCTAAATAAAGGTAAGGAAAGATGTCACCTGAGTGCCGAAGTAAATCGCATGAGTTGAAGTATAAGGAGTCTGAAAGTTTTCAATATAAAGGGTGATACAGAAAATGAAAATAAAAAGAATGCAATGAATAATGCATAGACTAAACCTAGAGAGAATGCGTAAATGAAAATAAAAAGAAAGAGAAGGGAACGAACTCCCCTTAGGTTGCCCCCCAAGCAGTGCCTTTGTTTATTATCGTTGGCTCGACCCAATATTATTTTCTTTAGCCCACATCTAGCCAAGGCGTTGTCAATCTTCCTTGCATTGTATCAAGCTCATTGAAGATAAGCACCAGTGATGCTCCATAATCCTGCAAATCATCAAAAGCAACACAAATATTAGTATATTCACCGTCATCATATCCTATCGGAATTTCATAATTCGAAATGAGAGAGTTTAAAGGGTTAGGGTCAATAATCGTAGGTGCTTCCTCCTAAATGAGTGCATCAATCATGAATGTTTGATGACACTTGTCATTCTCCCTAGGTTGTTTCATGATGTGAATGATGTTGACGTCCAAGGTCGTGTTCCCAAATGATAGTTTCATTTGACCGTTCCTGCAATTGATAAGAGCATTAGCTGTGGCAAGAAATGGTCTGCCAAGAATTATAGGAATTTTGGAGTTAACATTCACATCAACTTTTAGGTCCAAAATCAAGAAGTCAACAAGGTAGTAAAATTTATCAACTTGTACCAACACATCCCCAACTATTTCCCTAGGCCTAATAGTAGACCGATCAGCTAATTGTAAACTTACTGATGTGGGTTTCATTTTTCCTAGCCCTAACGACAAGTAAATATCATACGGCATGATGTTGACATTAGCCCCTAGATCAAGAAGGGCTTGTGAAATCACATGGTTTCCGATGATGCAAGAGACGGTAGGACAACCAGGGTCCTTATACTTTGGTGGGATCTTTTGCTCAATCATAGCACTCACATATTCAGTCAAGAAAGTAATTTTCTTAACATGGTGTTTCCTCTTCACAGTGCACAAGTCTTTTAGGATTTTAGCATATGTGAGAATCTGAGAGATGACATATAGGAGAGGTAGATTGATTTTTACTTGTTTTAGATACTCTAGGATTTCACTATGTTGGCCGATAGATTTTGAGGTAGACTTGAGAGCTTGAAGGAAAGGCACTCTAGATGGATTTTTCACTACCTCCTCACTAGGGTTACTCTCTTCTGAATTGCTAGGGTCCTTTTCATCTTTCCTAGGTTTGGGGGTTAGTTCAATAACCTTACCAGACCGAGTGGTTATGGAATTTACTTCTTTAAGATTGATTTCTCCTAACCCTGAAGTTTGTGTCATGTGTTGGCCCCTAGGGTTTAGTTAAGCCTGTGCTGGAAATTTTTCACGTTCTCCTATAGCTAAGGCATTAGTTAGTTTGGACATATGAGATTTTATTTCCTTGTTTTCTTCAACAATCTTACTCTGTGCCTCTATAAATGCATGTAGAGTGTCTTCTAAAGAGTTCCTATAGGACGTAGGTTGATATGGAGGTGCAATATGAGGTTTATTTGGCTGGCTTTCAAATTTTCAGTTGAGATTGGGGTGATTCCGCCACCTCGAATTAGATATCTCGGAGTAAGGGGTGTAGGGCTTTTGATAAACGCCTAAAGCATTACAGTGTTCCTCATAAAATCCCCTCATTTCAGCATAAATGGCACACTCCTGTGCTAGGTGATCACT